GTCTCTGGAAAAAAAAAAAAAGTCTGAAAAACAGCTTTTAGTAAAACTGTTAGTGGACCAGATGAGTGAACTGCAGAACTTACTGAGATCCTTTCTGAACTTTTTTAAATGCTAGGGGTAGAGTAGATGTCTGATATGAAAACTTTAAATACCAAGAAGAAAATGTGCGCAGTTATAGAAATAATAGAAACATTCAAAGAATAAGAACTGGAGGCATCAACTAATTTATTTCAGTAAATATTAAAACCTTTTTATTTTAAATGTGTTTGACCATAATTCATCTCCCACCAGAAAAAGTCTTTTCATTTGTTGAGAGAGCTAGAATCATTTTGAAAAAATAGACAAGATTTGAACCTCATCCAGAGATAAAAATCTGTCTAATTGTCAGAATGTGGATAAATATTTTTTTAACAATACTACTATCTTAAGTTAGTTTGCTAAAGCTAGTTATATTTTAAATATTTTTCAAGCTATTTGGGCCTTTCTAGATCTTAAGAAAGTGCATACTTGAGACATTGGGAGGTGTTGGATGATTCAGAAGATGATGTAATTCATATACTTAGCAAAAGAATTAGTATAAGTGAGTAGGGATTTTTAGACAAATTTTAGCTGTTAGCACTAAATTTTATTCCCATCAACAATGAATTATTCTTACTGTCTCTATATAATCACGAAGTTCATTATGGCACAAAAAGCTTGAGCATTTTATAGATTACGCCTACAATCTGTGGTGAAGTAAATGCAATATTAAGTTATGTTGTATTTCTCTCTATAGTGTGGCAGTTTATACTGTACATTCCTTGAGAGAGAAATGGTGTGTCTTTACAGAATGTAAAATAAAATGGAAGAAGATCTGAAAATGCCCTGAAGTGGCTTTATAAAGCAATTTTTATGCTTCCAAAAAAAAAAAAAAGAAAGAAATTAAATTAACTTCCTAATGTATATAAAAAAAGCTTTTTAATACACAATATTTTTTTCCATGCTTCTGATAAATCATAATTTACACAAATTAAAAATATTTCCTTTTTTTTTTTTTTTTTTTTTTTTTTGTATTAGAGTAGAAAAGGAAGTCATCACTTGAAACCAGCAGCAGAATGAACAGTAAGTTTATTCTGTTTTCTGGAATATTGCTATAGGCTAGTCTACATCACATGTAAAATTTTTGGCAAGCAGCCATCTGCTGCAGTAATGCAAGATATTGGATTAGATTGCACATTCCTGATATGCTCCCATTATTTTAATGGGTTTAATCTATTTGGAATGTTACTTATTCTGAAGAATGTAACAAATGTAGCATCTCCTGAAGCCTGGCAGTCTTCCTAAGGAATAACCACTCCGAGTGTGGGTTCTGCCTAATTCCAATGACATGGAAAGAGCTGACAGCCTTCAAAAATGCCTGAAGGGATAACCTAGAATGGGGAGAATCTGCTGATGCCCAATTTACATTGTTGTAAAAGGACAGAAGAAGGCAGATTTCCAGAGGTGTAGTTTAATTTGATCTTTATTAGACAGGGGTTTGAATTGTCAGGCCCAGTGCCAAAAAAAAAAAAAAACCACCTGGGACAACTCACTGCTGTGAAAACACATACCAGCCTTCTGTGTATTCTGCGTGTACCTTCACAGAGCAATTGTACTGGGAATATTTAATTCCTTTCAAACTCTTACGATCCTCTGATCTTGGCCATTTTATCTTGTGTTTTCATCAGTCCGTCTCTCTTAACCAAAGGCAAATTCTGATCTGGCATCTTCCCCATTATGATTTCCCCCCTCCTCATTTATCCTGAATCTTTATGTTTTCATATCCAATGCATTATTATGAAATTTACACAATCTAATTTTCATTCATTTTTCAAAGTGATTTCACTATTTTTTATTGTTTTTCTCTGAGCTTGCTACTTTTCTCATGAACTTGCTCTCTTCATGATGTCATAATCTGCCTCATCTACTCTCTAGTGCTTGCACAAACCCTTAAACTCAACTCAGGCTGAACACATTCCAGATACATATAAAAATGTCTCACAGAAAGTTCATACTATTTACTTTCAGAGAAGGAGTAATGTTCCTTGAACTTTGATGAAATCTTCTTCATGTAGTTAATCTCTGAGTTAATGAATTAATTAATGTTCCTGCATTTATTAGGTTGCTACTAAGGATGTGTTCATCAGTACCAGTGAAACTGCTGGAAGTGCAGGAAATTAAGTGCTAATGAGTGAGATTTTTTTTTTTTTTCTCAGCACTTTTTCAGTGTCATATATGACATGCCTGTACTGTTCCTTTTTCAGTCTCTGGGGATGCTGATATGGCAAAAAACAACACAAAAACTTAAATGTAAGCATAGAGATTGGGAAAGGAGGATTTAAAACACTATGGTGGTTCTGACTTCAGGTCTTGCAGCAGTGTTACGAAGATACACTGGTTAATATATCAACCTTTAATCCCCAAACAATGTTAAATAGCAGCCAGCTGCTATCTATCCTAGATATTTCAGCTGGAATTATCTGAACATCCCACCAGGAAATTCTGAACATCTGGCTGGCTACTGTAATCAATGTTGATACAGTGGAGGAATTCTGGAGGACTAGAAAAAACTACCATTATGTCAATATTTCAAATTATTAAATTGGGTCATTAGGATAATTCTAAGTCAGAGGGAAAATAATAAAAAAGTTGATAGAGAATGAAACATGTAAATATGACTAATACTGATACAGATTTAGAAAAAAGACAGTTTGTCAAACGTATTTGATTGCTTAAACGAGACCATAAGTTGGCAGATAATGGTAGAAGTTTGGATTGATATTCTGAGGCTTTTATAAGGCATTTTGATTTAGAAACCAGAATGACATATAATCAATATGGTTCTCATTAAATGAATTAAAGACTAGCCAGGAGTTAGCTCTCAAAATACCTCAGCTAAAGGGAATTATAACTGGTTAGCTGCATTTTGAGCATGGGTCCCTGCAGGAACTGGTTCTTGATGGTTTTTAATCCTCCCCCCACCTCAATTAGCATTATTCGATCCATGTTGTAACCAAAGGATGGCCTGGAGTTCTTGCAACCCAAAAAGCAAGACTAAACAAACTCAGGCTGTCTGATCTGAGAGCACAGGGCTGGGAACAGGAAGAATTGCCATGAGTCCAAAACTAGAGCTGAACTCCTCAGGGCTGCCTCATGCTGAAAGCTCCTAAATTCAGTAGATTCCATAATTTCTCCTTAGGCATTCTACAAGCACACAACATCTACTTGGTATCCAGAAAAAGCTTGATCATGACTCCTAACCCCACCCACTGCTTGCCAGTGCCTTAGGAGTGGTTAATTCAGTTTTCATGGTGTGCCCAATGCACAGCAATCAGGTTTGCCTCCTTCCTCTCTTTTTTGAATTTTAAATCTTCTCTACAAAAGGCACTTTTTCAGGAAGTGGGGTAGCCTGCCCAGCCTCTTCAGAGAAACAGGAACTTGTGTTAGAGCTGCTCTCTGTGGGTATAATAATCTGGACCTGCTGCACCTGAAGTCAGCAGTGTTATGTGAGTGGACTGGCATTATTAGCTCTTTGCTCTTTCTCTTTTGCTCTTTCAAAAGAAAGGAAGTATTTCTCCTCAGCATAAGCTGAAAACATCAGGTCAGCAGACAAACACCAATTCCTGCCCTTCAGCTTTCCTGCAGCTCCAAGTTGCAGCACTGTCTGTGTAAAAACCCAGGTCAAACACTCAGCCCCGGCCTTCAACAGCTGCTTGCTTGCTTTGCTCTGAACCCTGTCCTGAGGCCCCCTCTCCCCATACAGAGGGACCTAATACTGTGTTTGGAGTTTCAGCTGCTCCTGCATGGTCTGCAGACACAAATCTTTATCTACCAATAACCACACAGCAAGAGCTGGCAAGAATAATAAATGAAGCTGGCAGAAGTCAAGTGTAGCCCTTACACCTAAGATTTGTGCTTAAAATTAATTTAAAATCTGTTTCTCCCCATGATATTGCACTTGCTTTCCCCAGAAAGTCTCTCCTCTGGTCAGAAGGGTGAGGAGTTTATTTTCCTTTACTCATAGTATAGTTGCATGTGACTTTGGTAACACAAATACTTTTTCAGACTATTTAAGCAGAGATTAATCATTACACAGTACTTTGTATTGGGAGGCAGTGGAGGACAGGGTCTGGAAATGCAATATACTGAAGAAAAAAAGCCCTGATATTGTCAGGAGTATGGCAATAACTGAACACTTTGTGTATGATGCTAAGTGAGAAGTAAGCCATAAAAGGTCCTAAAAGTGAATTCACAGTTATCTGATTCACTAGAAAATTATGACCAATTGGGAAGATAGGGCAAGGAGAAAGAAGGATAAAATGCTTTAAAAGACAATCTGTTTTTCAAGGCTGGAAAATATAGTTTATTCTTGGTTACAGGTATTTAAATATATACATTTTAGGGCCCTTTTAGCTATGAAAATTTAGTGGATAATTATAAAGGATGGCTTGGCTGGAATAATGCAAATTATATTTCCATGGATGAATTCAAGCATAAACATTTTGAACCATATTCTCCATGCCTATGAAAACATCCTCTCAAAGTAAAATGGCTTGAAAAGTAATTAAGTATTTAAAAACCGTATTAAAAGTTAGAGTCAATACAGTGTTCTGGAGTGAAAACATCAGGATGTGTTCCACACCTTTGGTTCGATGTCGCTGTCGAGGCAGGACAGGAATGAAAGACTGACTCAGAGAAGGCTGCTGAGTGTAAAACTCTGGTTTATTCAAAATACACTGCTCTTTTATACAGAGCTTCGTGAGGACCAACTCCATTGGTCCTGAAGTGAAAACAGACCACACCATTGGTGCAGAGTGCTTGACGCACAGTGATAGAACTTAACTATAAACAATGTGAGAACAAGAGAGATAAAGAATTATTTACATTCTCTTCAGCTCTTTCCCAGGCTTCTGCCTGGTTAGAAACTCTCAGTTTCTTACTTTGACTGAATCTGAACGACAGTTCACTTTTTTTTTAAATTATTTCTGTGAAAACCAAGTAAAAAGGAACAACTAGTCCTTTAAATTGTTGTCATTCTGGCTTGAAGACACCACCCGCCCAGCTCAGCCCTGCCCTTCACCGCCTCTGGGCACAGACCAGGTAGGGCTGCGGCTGCAGGGTCATCCCTAACCTGGGCTTCAGCTCCGGGATCACTCCGTGAGGGAAATGCAGGTGAAATCGTTGTAGCAACGAGGTGAAAAACAAAAACATTTCCATTCGAGCCAGCTGCTCTCCGAGGCAATGTCTTCTTCCTGAATTGAAAAAAAAAGGTTTTAAAAAGGTTTGCGGTATCTTCAGTCACATTTCTGCTCCTATGACGAATAGGAATGGTCATTTCTCTGTTCTAGGAGTGCTGTGTGAACCTCTTGGCAGTATTTTGTAAGAAGGATAGGTGATAACTTACCCTGAGAAACTGATTTTAGAGAATTTGTTGCTCACAAATGCCATTCAAACCAAATCTGCCAAATTGATTTAGATACACTTGTTACTTACTATATCTTGTCTTGCAGTGTCAATCTAGATGGAAAATGCTTTAAAAAATGACATTGTGAATTTTAGCCTTTGCCCCCTACTATTTTCTTAATTAAATCTACTGCCAGTCATTATTAACTGGCAATTATTAGAATTTTGTAAGGAGGGTTTTTATTAGTTTACATATAAAACTGAGCTCATCTATATAAAAGATGTTATGCTAAAATTTGTTCTCTCCAGAGCACATTATATTGAATACCTTTAAATTGATTATATTGGATATCTTTAAATCAGAACTGAGGATATCATTCTGTCCATTTATTGCCATCCCTTACACTTTACACAGCTCTGGATTTGTGAAAAGGAACAGTGGAAGGAATTGCTCTTACCTAGGGAAAAAGGAATAAACGCATCTTTCTTGACAAACTGTCCATTACTGTCCAAAAACCTCTCAGGAAAAAAAACTTCTGGATTGCTCCAGTATTTTTCATCAAAGTGGACAGAGTAGAGGTTTGTAATGACCGTGGTGCCTGCAGGAATCGTGTAACCACGCACAACAGTGTCTTTGGAAGTGGCATGGAAAATCCCCAGGGGGACAATGTTACAGAACCTCAGCACCTCGTGCAGAACAGCCTCCGTGTAGGGCATCTTGCACTTCTCTTCCAAGGTGGGCATTTTGTTTGGGCCAATGACAAGGTCGATTTCTTTCTGAACTTGCCCTGTTAGGAATAAAAGCCGAGGTTTATTTTGTAATTGCCTTTACATTTTAATTTATGCTAAAGTATACTTGTATATAAACACATTTTAAAAGAATACTGAAACATGGTATACCTTATATAAAAAACAGTAGCAAAGCTTTTAAATTTAGACTCTATATTCCTATCCGTGGTTACTGCTATTATTCCCATTCTGAAGCAATGGTGAAATTGATATTAGAGTGATATTTTTTGGTCCAAGTACCAGCAGTAACTTTCTAAGTTATCTGGGCCTCTCTTCCTCCAAATCCTGGAAGCCCAAAGCACTGAACCAAGCACTGCTAAGGTTTTGGTAAGAGAAGTGAAGTGCAAGGCAGTGAAACCAGAAACGTGACTCTTCACTTCTAGAATCCAAACTTCTCCTCACAGTGGCTGGGCTAACACTCAAACATCTACGGCTGTTTTACTTCACAATGATTGTAACACATCTTTTTATTTTTAAATGCCATTTCTGTTCTTCCAAAAGTATAAGTATTCCTGTCTATCATATGTAAATCTGTTGTGAACTGGGGCACTTAAGATATAAAGAATTATACCTAACTTGTTAACCACAACGTGATCTACATTTTTGCTGGCACTTGTACATTTTCAATTTAGTTTATTACTTTCATATTTAATTACATTTTCTTATTATTTATTAACTACATAGATTAGTACATCTGCCAACAACAGATCATGCATCACAATGCTAAACCTAAATATATTAGAAATACTTAAAAGTATTAAAGCTTCATAAAAGCGTATTCACAAAATAATATGTGTAAAATTTTATCATTACACTCGACTTTTGATATCCTTTTTGTCTGCATTTAAAACAAGTTTTCCACCTCTGTCCATAGTATGTTTAGTAATAGAATTATATATATATATATATATATATATATATATATATATACACATACATACACACACAAAGCTTTTTACTTTGAAAAAGCATTTTAAATTTGGAATAGGAAAGTGAATCAGTTCCTCAAAATGTCAAAATTCTTACCTTGAATGTTTGGATAAAGAGCCATAAATAACACTGCCCATCTTAAAACATTTGTTGTGGTTTCTGTCCCAGCTATGATGAGTTCTCCAACGGAGAAAATTAAATTTTCTCTTGAATATGTAGATTCTGGGTCGTTTCCATTGCAATCCATCTCATCTAAATATGCATCTACGAAATGTCGAGGTGACTGAGGCTTCCTATTTTCAGAGACACGTTCAATAAGCTCATGAAGAAACTCATAGACTTCAGCTGCATTTTTAAACAGCTGCTGGTGTTTCCCAAATGGCAAGATACCAATCCAAGGAAAAGCATTATATAAAAATACAGAAGCACTAGCAGCTAATTCAATGTTTTCACTAAAAATCTCAATCATGTGCTGAAATTCTGTATCTTCGTATGTGAAACGTTCTCCAAAAATAATCAAATTAGTAATGTTTGAAACAGCATTTGTTATCAAGTGCTTAAGATCAAAGGGTCTGCCTTTGTATGTATCAATGGCATCAAGAAAAAACAGAGATTCTTCTGAAATTTTGTGTTCAAAGGACTTTTGACCATATCCAAAAATTCGAAAGGTATTTACAGCTAATTTGCGGTGTTCTGTCCATCCTCTGCCATATTTACTGTTCAGTAAGCCTGAAAAAATATTTTGACACAGTATTTTATGCAATGCTTTATTTTTCTTCCCCTATAAGATAATCAAATTATTCAACAAGACAAAAAATGAGACAAAATATTTTGGACGTCTTGCTATGGAACACAGTCCATGAGTGACATTCCTTTCCAAATAATATCTTTAAGGAAGCATCAAGTATTTTAAGAAAGGACATCAAGTAAAGAAAATGGCTAAAGCAGATGCTTCATGTGATTTGTTCATCTATGGGACAAAAATTACGTTTTTATACAAAAGAGATTAGCACTCACCTCCCATGTTTGTCAGCTTCTTGAACAAGGGGAGAGACGGCCTGTCTGCAAAAATTTCACTTTGGTGGACAAGGCATTCCTTCACTGCATCGTAGCCATTCAGTACAACGGCAGATATACCCCCGAGATCAAGGCTGAAGATCTTTGAGGCGGGGGAAAAAAAAGGAATAAAAAGTGTCAAATGCTATTACACCCCAGTCTGGAGAACGAGGAATGAAAAAGTGAAACGACACTAAACTAAAGTCAATGTGAAATGCAGAGCTGAATAACCTTCAGCAGGGCACACAGGTGACCAGAGGTGGGACAGCTGTGGCACTGCACAGGAGAGTCTGTGGTAAGTTCCTTTGCTTTGATAAAATTAATTAGCCCACACTACATTCTGTGCTTTGCTGTGCTGCTGAAGAAACCAGCCCTCCAAATTAAGGACTGGGGACACCCTCATGTAGTCCCTAGAGAGGAGTGAGAGCCAAGGTGACAGGCAACAACTGAGAGCAGAGCCCAGCTAGGCCCAGCTTCCTTTTCCACAAGTGGTTAGCACAAGGTCCTTTGGAGAAAGGCACAATACAGCCTGCAGAAGGCACACAGGATTAAAAAAGTTAAATCTGAATCTACATTTTAAAAATTAAAACTGAGCCTAAAGTTAAGATTGAAACCTTAGATTCCTTTCCATACATTCCCTCAGCATTAGAAATCTGTATTTTTACCATTACAAATATTTAGATTTTTTTTCCATGTCAAATCTGGTGGCCTCCACAATATGAAACTGTGTTAGCCTAATTATACATTCTGTTACAGCTGGGTTGTCACCCAAAGGGTTGTCAGGCACTGGAGCAGGCTGCCCAGGGAAGTGGGGGAGTCATCATCCCTGGAGGCATTTAAAAGCTGATGTGGCATGTGGGGATGTGGTTTAGTGCCTGACTTGGCAATGCTGGGTTAACAGTTGGACTTGATGGTCTCAAGGGTCCTTTCTAACCTAAATGATTCTACTAGTCTATTTTATTTTAGAAAACCTGGTATTTTCACTGTTATAATGGCTCTTCTTTTTTACGTGTCAAGAAGACAATCCCAGTATATTTCTGCAAACCGTCTGTGAGTTTTGTATACTTTGGTCTAACTTATTGATCTTTGTTCCTGTATCATACATGATTTAAAAAAACAAAAACAAAAAAAAACCCAAAAAACCTTTGATTGTATTTTTCCAGAGTCCCCCAGATATTTTTCCAGAGTCCTCCAAATCCTAATATGCTGTTTCCCTCAAATTCTACAGGATTGTTTCTGACAGCAGATGACTGAAACTCCATACAGCATTCCAGGCAAGTAGAAATCTTGCTTCATTCGACAGCACATTTTCCTTCCTATTTCCGTTCTACTTGCCCTAGTACTTTGCTTAAAGAACATTTTTTTTTTTTTTTTAGTTACCAAAATACATGTTAGATCTAGTTCGGAGTTAACTTTTACGGAGCTCGGAAGAGGAGATTGGCTGGTTAACACTGGCTGATGGAAAGAAAAGCCCGATATAGAAGTACCAAAAAAAAAAAAAAAAAAAAAAAAAAAGAAAGGAAAAGAAAAAAAAAGGATTAGTTTTTACATAGTTTCGCAAAAGGGCTGTCAGGATCTCAAATACCGCGCTGCCGGTGCTTGGAGGCGCGGTTCCGCCAGCCCGGCGCTCCCGCTGCCGGCGGGGCGCTCTGCCCGCCGCATCCGGGCAGGGCGGCAGCTCCGCGGGCGGATCCCGTGCGCGGCTGCCCGGGCCGGCCCTCCCCGCTCCCGCGGGCCCCGGGGCGGCGGTACCTGCCCGTGGATCTGGCTCTGCCGCCGCAGGTAGACGTGCGGCTGCTCGGCGCCCAGCGCGGGGATATTACCGAGCAGCGGCAGCCCCGCGGGGCCGGGCGGGAAGCCGGGCGGCCGCCGCTGCTTCAGCAGCTGCCGCACCACCAGCGACAGCAGCAGCGCCAGCACCGCCGCCAGCGGCAGCAGCCAGGCGCCGCTGCCCGCTGCCGCTGTCGCTGTCGCCGCGCCCGGGCGCGCCCTCGGCTCCGCCGCCGCCACCCGCATCGGCCCCGCCGCCGCCGCTTCCTCCTCTGGTCCCGTCCTGCCGCCGAGCATTGGCCCGTGGAGGCTCCGCCCGCCGCGTCAGGAGCGCTTCTCTCTCTCTCTCTCTCTCTCTCTCTTTTTTTTTTTTTTTTTTTTTTTTTTTTTTTTTTTTTTTTTATCTCCTTCTTTTTAATATTTTTTCCCCTTGGAATAACCCTGGGCTGGTCGCTCGGGGTTTATGGAGCGTCGGAGCGCACCGCTGGCTGCGCGCCCCGCACGCCCACCATGCGGGATGAGCGGAGAAAGGAACCAGCAGTTCTTTGCTCCTTGTTAAGTCCGTGTAGAATCTCCGACGCGCAGTTTCCAGGTGTCTTTCCCGGACACGCTTCGGGCTTGGGGAGCCTTGGGCCGGTGAAGCCCGCAGTGATTGTCCTGGCAGATGTGCAGCAGCTGGCTGCGCGGATCTCCCGCTGCCCTGCCCGTGGCTCCCTGTGCTGCACAGCCCGACTTGAGCTCCCTCACCCGGCCACGGCCCCGCCGGACAGCGGCAGGAAAGGGTCCCTGCCCCCGCAGGCAGCACGGAGGGATGTGTGAATGTCCCCAGCCCCTGTGACCAAGCAGCACGGAGATCACACATACAATGACTTACATCCATTGACTGACATAAAGTCCCAAGCTACGTCAGGGAAGGTTTAGGTTGGATGTTAGGAAAAAAATTTTCACTGAAAGAAGAATAAAATATTGGAATTGTCTTCCCAGGGAGGTGGTGGAATCACCATCTCTGGATATGTTTAAAAAAAGACTGGACTTGGCACTCAGTGCTATAGTCTAGTTGTGGTGTTAGAGCATTGTTGGACTTTATGATCTTAGAGGTCACTTCCAAACTCCTTATTCTGTGATTCTGTGATTCTGTGAGCGTGCAAAGGTTGTTGTTACCCAGTGGGATGATGGCTCAGGAGCGAGGGCTTGAGCTGCAGAAGAGGCCAAGATCGTTAAGGCAGAGGTCAGAGAGCAATGTTGCTATGCCATGTGATATTCTTGGCAAAACACTTCATAAACAAACCCAGATTTGTTTCCATTCACATTGGGTTTGTTATTACGTTACTACTATCTTACAGGCAATTTTAGGAATACCAGGAGCATTCCTGGCCCATTACAATTTTCTGTGCCATGTATTTCTAAGCTCAGATGTCTTTCTTGTTGAATTCATCTTAATAGCTGTACATAGATTTTTAAGAACATTGATAAGATCTAAACAGATGAGGAATTTATGCTGATGGAGCTCATTAATAATTTGTGTCAATGCCAGCATCCTGTATCAAAATCTTACCAAGTTTGTCAGAATACAAAGTGGCTTCAGCCCTGCTGGAGGTTTCTTTTTTTCATTCTTCTTCCAAATTATTTCTTCATCCTTTATTTCAGTGTGATACCGCCTGATGTCTTAATAATGGTGATATTTAGGTCATAGTTGCAGAAAATACCAGTATTTTCAATATCAGTGCCTAAAGAATTCTCACCAAATATTCAGGAACTCAGCTTGGCTCCAGTCAGAGAAAGAATGAAGAGAAATTGCCAAGGGATTCAGTAAGATGTGCACGTGCTTAAGTATCTGAGAAAACATAGGAAGAGTTGCTATTGCTTTGATTTATTTTTGCAGCTTATCTTTAATGCTCTGTTATTTAAGTGTTATATACTCAAAGTTTTAGATGATCATGATATCCACTGCATCTGTGTAAGAAAAGAAAGGTAATTAACAGTTTTGGCAGCAAGCATTTTGAAGGGGGAAAAAGGGAAAAAAATAGTATAGGAAGGGCTCAAGAAGAGAAGAAAAAAAGATACAGAAGAAAAGTCCAAATATTTTACAAAAAATGGAGGAATAGACTTGTAGTGGAGGGAAAGCCAACAATATTTGACAATTCTCTTCAAGCAGAGGAGAGAACAGTCAAAACTGACCTTACCACAGTGTCTGAGCCGTGGGGAAGGAGAAGAGACAGTGATATTAACCACTGTAACCGAGGAAGGGAAACTGAAGAGCATGATTAGAAAAATAAAATCCATTTTGGTCAAGCCAAATGCTAAAAGATAGTGAGTCAACCAAGATTAAAGATCCAAGAACCTCTAAAGGATGCATGATTAAATGGAAGTAAAAAGCAGCAGCATGGACAAAGATGACTGAAACTTGTCAAAACTAAGTGATAAATAAACTCTTGTAGACAGATGAAATCACTTAAGGATGCAGGTTTAGGGATGCAAGACTCCAATTGCTGTCCAAGCATAGGATTCCTTGCCAGTTTCTGATTGATCTTTTTATTTTTAATTTTTTTGTTTCATTCATTCATTCATTCCTTCCTTCAGAAGTGTGTGGGCAGTTTGTGCTGAATCGCTTCTTTGGGAACGTTTTACTCATCTTAATCACGGATGATCAAATGAGCAAACTCATAGGATGAATAAAGGTTTTTTTATTTCAATTATAAAAATGACGGCCGAGTAAAGAAACCCATTAAAGCATGTATCTTTATTAAATTCTAAAACATTCTAGTCATCAAGTTTTACAATTACTTTACACTGGAAATTCTATAAGCAGAAGTTGGAGTAACAGGAAATTATTGTGTTCCTGTCTTCTCAGGAAAATCAAAGAGCAATTATTTGGCTTTGTATTCTTTGACTACTCATACTCATGTATGTATGTATATATTGACTTTTGAAGAAATATACAGCCAGGTGTGGCTGTTCTCTGAGTAGCAATGTTAAGATCTTGGTGATAACTCTGGGGAGAAATATTAAGTTGTTTCCACGTTCCATTAAAAATCTCACAAAATTGTATTTAGCGACAACTTTGAAACAAGCTCTGGTTTTCTTGTTCTTCAGAGCTGACATTGTAGCTGGAACAAGGTAAACCTTTATCAGGTTAGAGTGTTTTCCATCCCTATAGCAATGTCTCTTGTACAGTGAAATCATTACATGATTTATAAAGTGTAGGAAAACAACTTTATAGACAGATGTGTAAAAATTTTGCTGCTTGCCTTCGATGGTGGATTGGGGAAAAGAGAGAGATATTTACAGATGTATGTAAAACAAGCAGGCTTGTCATGAAAGAAATTGATTTCACAAGCCCACTGACAAGTTTAGATTGGTGTGCAGATGTTATCTGTTACACTCACAAAGTTCTTTTTAACCTGTGTCATCACAGTGAATGATCAACTTCCATGTCACAATTATCTCCTGAGCCTGTAATGAAGCTGGTGCTTTACATATTATCTAAAACAGAAAACCACCTCTGATGTTTTCCCTTGTGAATTTGATTGTTTACTGGGAAAATCCCCACCTTTTCCTTTAGTCACATCCTTTTTATTCATCACAGTCTTACTGTGCCTAAACATTTCATGTCTGTCAAGCAGACTCAGAAGGCTGGAGACCGGCTTAAGTTGAAAAATAGTTTTGGCTTGTTTTATTTTCTGGTTCTTTCAGAGTATACTTAGGTCAATTCTATGCATAAATTTAGAAATTCATCTTTTTAATTGATGGTCTCATATGACTATGGGTTCCGAGAAACTCTGCTGAAAGTAGATTAGCAAATATTATGTTGTAATAGCCTTTGCCTTCACATGCTATTTACCAGCACTGAAAGGAGAGAGATCTTTTTTAGCCCCAAATTTCACTGAAGGCAGAGGCTAAATCAGTGCTGTAGGACCCAACATTGTCAGGACAACTGCATAGTTCTGGGAAGGACTGAGGAAAACTCTTTAGTTACCCTGTGGCTTCATCAGCCCTCAGTACTGGCAAGACAAAGGCTGAAATGATGACAGGAGGAGTTCCACTCTTCTAAGATCCTGTAAACAACAAGCAAGGATTAACCTGAGGGCTTGAGAAAGTTTCTCACCCTATTTTCGCTGACATGCTCTGACAATATATAAGATAGTATCACAGAACTTGTGCAAGCAATGGAAAAAAAGTTTTATAACCATGCTGTTGTTTAACAGGATTAGTTTTTTTTTGTTCTAGGTTGTTTTTGTTTTTTCAACTCTCATTTTACCTGCTCAGTGCAAAACCAAAAACAAAACCAAAAAAAACAGGAGTGCAAGTAAGTGCTGATTTTGAGATTTTGAAACATTTTCAGAGTGAGATTTTCTTCTGTAGTGTATCCCCTCAATGCTACCCTGGTAATTGCTGCAAGTCTGACCCTGGCTCAGCTGAGTGTGAGGGGTTCTCCTTGTCAGCCCGCTGGAGGTGTAGCTGGGGACAAATCTGGAATTGTGCCAAGTGTCAGAGGCAGGGAATGAGTTTCCAGGTGGCAGGAGAGGACTGGAGTAACCAGCTTGGAGGCTGAGCTGTGCTAAGGCAGCACAGAAGATGACAAAGCCATAGCAAATGTCCCTGTGGTCTGCTCCTGCTGCCTGGCCAAGCAAACCTCAGGGCAGGACAGTGTGGTCCAGTCTGCTTTAAAGGATTATTCCAAACTGGATTTTGAATATATCCAGGAAAATTGCCACAGAACCTACAGAATCTTTGGGGATTTTTGTGTGATTATAAGATTTCAAGGAGATTAAACCAATGCAACCCTGATCTTCTGTTGAAAATGTCTTTCATAAATCAGTCTTGGAGCTCTTCTAAGGCATTTTGGAGGAAAATTTGCTTCCACAGTGATTCATAGATTTTTCACTAATTAGCTCAACAGCAGTTCCACTTTCTCAAAAGCAGTCACTGAAGCAGCCTAAATCCAGATTTAATGTCCATTAAAAAGGAAATGCTTTAGTGTTGGGATTTATATCAGTGTTCTGGTTCTCAGGAAAGTACTGCATTTTTATAAAAATGAAGCTCTTTTTTTTTTTGGGCCAAATTCAAACCAAACCACAAGATAGATTGGTACAATATTATTTATATGGATAAGCTTGATGTGAGCTTATGCTAAATCTGAATATGTTTTTTCAGAGACTATGGGAGCAGGATTGAGGAAACAATTTGACCAATTAGGGATGCAACTTTTGCAAAACCAAATGCCTACAAAAGTTATGGTGTTGGTTTCAGAGTTTAGGCCATTCACCAGCTTTTCAAATT